GGAAAAAAAAATACTACAAAAAGTATTTAGTAGAACAGAATAGAGAACTCAGAAATAGATCTCAGTATGTTACTTAGTATAATTGTTGACTTAATGGAGTAAGAAAAATATGTGGATTTTTTGTTTGTTGTTGTTTTAATAAATTGAATAATGCTGGGGAATCAAAAGGATTAACTTTTGGGACCGAATGAACTAATAAAGAATGATTATGACTTTAACAGTTATTGTTTTGGAATTGCTGATTCTTTAATGTTTTATTTAAGGAATCTTTTTTTCTCTTAAGCTTTCTATAGCTCAAGACAATTTAGTGCATTATACATTTGTAAACAGAAATGAATCACTTACCTTTTCTCCCTACCTGACCTATCCAGAATTTAGAAACTCTATTGAGTATTCTTGTTTCCATGGCAATACACTTTTTTGTGTGAGTTCAACTAGAGTATCTTCCTTGTAATAGGACTGTAATAACTGGAAAAATTAGTTATATAGGTTTTGACTAGAGTGTCATATTTGAGAATGATGTATAAAATCAGATATTATCAGACAGTCTTAAGGAACTAAGGTTGACTTTATAGAACCAATGCCTACAAAATCCCTTTTGGAAAAACCAGTGTGATACCTGGTTTACAGGATTCCTGGCCTTGCAGATGAATAAGGACGGTCACTTCCAGGTAAGCCCAGAAACTTTAAGATATTTTGGGTATCTTGAGAAAAGAGGAATTCACCCAGATCTATAGGTATTACAGGCTAAATCTGGTGGTGAGTTCTTGGCTCGACATCCTGACCCTGAGGCTTTTAAAGTCTAATCTGAGATTCTTTATGAAAAGCTTCTGCAAAGCAAACTTAAAAGCCCTAAGTGGTTAATTACCATTCTTGCTGCCTTTATGTAAATGATTAGGCCAAATCTAATGAGATCAGATGTATTTTGTAAGCAAGAGTAAAAAAATAGGTGGCAACTGGAGAGAGACATTTTATGTTTTGATGGAAAACTATAGTGCATTCTTATGGGCTACTAAATTCTAGTTTTTTTCATTGTCTTGGACATTTTTGTCAATTCTTCGTTTCCACCAATATCTGGCTACAACTGTCTGAAGTGTTTCTAATTTTTCTCCTCCTGATTTGGTATCATTAAAAACTAAAATTGCTCTTCTCCTGAAGCCCTGCAAGCTAAAGCTGGATGACTTGATATAAACTCCAAAGAAATCACCACAACAATCATCTGTGGGCAGCCTTAATGCCTGCTGCTTGTGTGGGCCATTCAGAAAGTTCCCTGGAACACCTGACACCATCACCAAGGACATTCAAACTGCAGAAGATACTTTAAGACCAACATCTAGAAATTTCAACTGTCTACTCTCTGGACTTAGAAACTGAGTTTATAGTCTACTTCAACCATTAATCTTTTTCTTCTAATTTGCATAGAAATTCCCCTCATTAAATACCTGACTGCTCATGCCACCTATAAAATATCCTCTACTACCAAGTCTCAAATGATGGCTCAGCTAGTCCTTAATAACAAAGGCCACCTAACGAGAAATGAAAATGCTTAAAGGAAAAAAGGATGTTTCTTGAATAAGAGACTCTCTCTTTAACTAAACATTAGTCAGGTTCCACTAGAACTTTTCTTGACCAGGCCAGTCCCTTGCCAGACCAGCACAGCCCACTTTTAACAAGAATCCTGCTAAATCAGTTTAGAGAGAATTCTCCACCCTTAATATCTGATCAAATTCCTCATATCCTCCAGACCCCTGATCACCCTGGCCTGCCTTCAACAGGAATTCTAAGGCTGTTGAACTGGAATTTTCCCTTGCCCCTGACATTTTCTTCCACAGTCCCCACTCTTCCTTGGCTGTTAATTCCCTCTTGGCCTTGCTATACTGGGAAGTGAGACCAGATCCATACCAAGGTCTCTTTTTTCTCCTATTGCAGAGTTCCTGAATAAAGTCTACTTTAACTACTGCCTTGTTCTGTGTTTTGTTTTGTTTTGTTACAGTATCAATAGTATACAGTCTGGAAGAACTACTGCTATCATATGTACACTGACTGATATTTTAGCTTGCAGTCGGATAAAGTCAATGATTTGCAAAAAGTGATTTGATGCTTTGTGTACATATAGAATGTCCATGAGGAAGCAATGCTTGACAAGTTTTTGTCCTGTTTATTACTGAAAACCCAGGATATGGTTAAAAATATATTGAAATCAGTGCTGATGGAACACAGATGTGTGAAAAGGAAGGCAGTGCATTCCTATTCAAATAAAATAATTCGTCTCTAGTGGTAATTGACATTGTTGTATTTACAGAGAATATTTAGTTGTCAAAAACATATCATTTGGTTTTGGTTTATTGTTGAAGGAAATGCTGATAATTAATACTATCAAATTGTAGCTTTTGATATACCATATGTGGAACAGGGCAGCAAGTGTGTATAAGTCTGGCTGTAGGGGAAAAATGTGCTCACGTCAATTTTTAAAATGATAGAAATAAAAATACCTTATGCAGCTGGTAATTCTAGTAAGACCATTTTGAGTAATTACTTGAATAACATGTCACAACAGTATATTTTTCAGTATATTAAATTGCTTGAACCTTTACTTAAGGCTCAAAATATCCTGTTTTTAAAATTTTCAGATGAGAGATTAGGATTTCTTCTAAAAAACACTGAATTGTGGTTGATTGTGTTTAAGTTTTGGTTTCTAGTATTATTCTTTGTCACTCTACTTTTGGAGAAAGACATGATTTATCAACACATGCTAAAAAGTCACATTACTACAAATGCAATATAACATACATAATGCTTCAGAGAAAATGAAGAAACACTACTTAGACAATTAGAGGATGGATTAGGGATCTCTACTCTGTATCCCAAGTTGAAAGGATCAACTTTTCTGCTTTTGTTTGTAATATGCTTATCAATTTAATGCCTGAGGGAGTTCTGAAACTCATCATCAGTGAGAAGTCTTTATAATTTCTAGGTTCACTATAGCCCAAATATCCAGAATTTTATGACAATCTACCAATACTTATTTTCTTCCAAAAATCCTTAATTGGGAATCAGGACTTTCCAATTTGGTGGAAGTAGTAACACTAGAAACTGATTGGATGTGGAGCTCAAGGTCTTCTGGTTTGAAGTCTTCATCATTGGGTCAAGCATTGAGAGCTTGGTAAAAGCCCAAACAAAATCCAGTTTTTTATATTGATAGGGAATAATAATAATGCACATTGAAATTTTATTCAAAATAATAATTTAGTTTGAAAATATTTCCCAACTTGAATATGGACGCTGAAATAACATTTGTTAACTTTGTAAAATTTTTGTAAAAAAAATATAGTGTTTGTTGAGCGCTTGCTATGGAAAAAAATATTAGACTAAATGTGATGAACTCATGTTAACTGTGAAGGAGCTAGGAATTTGCAGACTGAGGCATGGAGGAAGTAAATAACTTATCCAAGGTTACCCAATTGTGAATTGGCAGAATCAAGATTTGAATTGACTCAGTCTGATAGTCAAGACTGTGCTCTTAACCATAACCTGACAAAGGAAAATAGTACTGTAGGATTCCCTGAGGTGGTCAACTCAAATATAAGTGTTTTTTAACTTCAAGGTCTTCTAAATTCTTTCTCTACTCTTTTAACATACAATTTCTCACATTATTTTCCTCCTCCTACCACCAATGGGTATTTTGATGAGAATTTTTTAAAGGAGAGAAGTGGTTGCAAAGTACAGAATCCTTTGGAGGCAGAAGGAGGAAGGATCACTTTCATGGCCACAGATAATTTCCTTAGTTGTGGCTAATTTTTTCCTTGACTATTAAGGTCCAAAGAGAAATTAAGTGACCTGTAACCTATCATCACTAATCCCCTAGAAACCTCAAAATTTCATGCTTATTTGAGTGTGTCTTAGTGAATAAACAGCATTATTTTCCCCCTTAAAAGATTTGCACAGACCATAAATTCTTTTTTTTTTTTTGAGAGGGCATCTCTCATATTTATTGATCAAATGGTTGTTAACAACAATAAAATTCTGTATAGGGGAGTCAATGCTCAATGCACGATCATTAATCCACCCCAAGCCTAATTCTCGTCAGTCTCCAATCTTCTGAAGCATAACGAACAAGTTCTTACCTGGTGAACAAATTCTTGCATAGTGAATAAGTTCTTACATGGTGAGCAGTACAAGGGCAGACAGACCATAAATTCTTTAATGTTTGAATTATAAATGAGCTCTTCCCGAGGTATATTAAAAAGCTTTTTATGTATAACAATTATTATATTTTAAAAACATTGATTTTATATAACTTTGTTTAATGGCTTAACATTACTACTTGTTAAAAATAAATGAAAATTAAAATTATAGTATTGCTCTTAACCATTAGAAATATGTCAGGTTTTAGAACTGAAGTTTTGCCTTGTTTTAAATATACCAGCTTGCTGGCTGTTGTGTGCTGGACAATTATTTCTTTCAAATCTTGCAGCGCCCTCTAGAGTGAAAAGTTAGTATTCCACACATTTAAATATTCTCGATCCATCCCATTTTGAGGGGTAGCCTTATTAGAAGTAGCAGAGACCTGAACATAAATTTTTCTGTTCCAAGTAAATATTCTTTTCAGTGATGCCTTTTAGGTAACTGGAACAACATGAAAAGGTGGTTATTCACTGTTAAAATTTATCTTGTCTTGGTAATTACACATCTTTCCCTCCTTGTGCAACTAGTGGCACATAATTTTATTTTAAAGTTTATATTTTCAGAGTAATATTAACAATAGACATTGATTTTTTTTTGGCGAGTATAACACCGAAATTTATTGAATCCCTATTATAAATGTGATACTGAATTTGTATTGAGGAATACACAATAAATAGAGAATAAGCCTCTGGTACTTACACATGTATTTCCACTTGTTTAATGTATGAGAGTGACCCATATTGGCTCTTGTTTCAACATTGTCTTTATTAACTAAGAATATTGCTACTTACATATATATTCCTTTTTTATTACAGCAGAAAATACTCAGGAAGCATCCCAGGTAAAGAAGAGTTTGAGCGAAAAAGTTTCTCTCTATAGAGGTGACATCACATTGCTAGAGGTAGATGCTATAGTCAATGCCGGTGAGTAGTTGATTTTTTTGTGATGTATTTGTTATATGAGTATTTATTATTTAAAAATATTTTTCACCAACAGGAATGTACGTATTTTCAGAAAATGATATCCTTCCTGGTATAGAAATGTCTTATGTATTTTTCTTCTTGATTAAAAACACTGAGGGTTTATTTTATGTCTGTGCTGCAATTAAAATGCTAATCTACATGGTATCCATGCTTAATTGAGACTGGTGTACTGGACCACTGGAAAAGTGACAGATTATTGTAAGAAGTTCTTCAGAAAGAACTTTAGCAACTACATTATTCTTGGTTTCATGCTTCAGTTAATAATTGGCCAACATAAAAACAAGTTCATCAAGTTTTTCCTTCTTTTGAATAGGTTGTAAAGAGATGACTGAACTACACCAGACAAAAGTAAAATATAAGAAATTGTTTCTCTGATTTCCAAACCTCATTTGGTTTCAACCTTTCATGTTTGTTATACATGCTTTATTTCAATAATTAATTGTAGAAGTATTTTTTATGTTTGAACATCAGAAAAATAACTTATTTACGGTGGTCTGTATCAACTATATAGTTTTTTGTGGTTATATATCACAAAATACACAATAGTTGTGATTCTATAAATGTCAAAAATAAGAGGATATTTAAAGATTTTAATTTGTTTTGTAAATATAATATCAAGTAAAAAACAAATCTGGATGTAGGTAAGGAGAGACTTTATTCAAAATAAAGGACTATCAGAATAGGAGGTGGAAGAATATTGCAATAGGAAGAACCACTTTGACTATGAGATCTATAAGCATCTCAAAGGTCAAGCAGAAAAGGGCTTTTTTTTTTTATAGAGAGGAGTAAACAGGTTAGAAAGAATTGGGTATCAGGAAATGGGAAGAGTGTGTGGCATTATTGGACAGTTGATCAGGGAATGTTTTTCCCTGAGGTCAACTGGTTCTTATGGGGAGATTATTAAGGGGTTGGATGGGGTTGTTCACCTTCCGTTACTGAAGGGTGGGCCACAGTTCAGGGGCTTGGAGGAAGGAGAGAAGCTTGGCTAAAGTTTGGTCACAACCAGTTAACAAGCATTTACCAACCAGAATGGTCAGTGGGAACAAATAGTGCAGCTAATCATTTATGAGGCCAAAAAATGGGAATTTGGAGGGTCTGTGTCTAGTCTTTGCTGTAGGTTACCACTGGTCATCCATGAGTTTTACCTGTTATAGGACAAGTTTTTTTTTTTGCAGTAAGCTGTTTCCTGGAGCACAAAAGGGTAGAGGATAATTTTTTGAGAGTCTCTGTTTTCCAGGAGTATAAGATGCAGATAAAATTAAACATTGTCTCAAGGTTCCCTTTGGTGATGAGTAAATTTACAGAGAATAATAGGAACACGCCTTGGTAGGTGAACAGAAGGGTCTCATGGAGAACTGGAACACTGTTCAGGATATAGCATAGCTTCGGCAACCGAGCAGAAAGTCTGGAAGCCTAGTCCATTTGTCCCTTCCTCAGAACTGGCTCGCAGTTGCTTAGTACTGTGTCTACCATAATCAGAGCTATTTTTCTCTTTCTCTTCTTCTGATGCCTCTGTACTTCCTTTCTCCTCTGCTGCTTCTCTAAAGTGTGAAACTTCATGAGAGAGGATTTGCCTGGGTCATTTAAACTCCACCCAATATGAATCCTCCTTTTGGATAGAATTTTATCCAAATTCTATCACAAGTCCCCCTTGTATCTAGTTTCTCTGGACTGTCCATATGTGGCCCAGCATATTAAGGATGCTTTCCTCTGGAGCCTCCAGAGAAGATAGGCCCTTGGAAAGAGTCTTATGAACTCTTTTCTAGCACAGAGATCTACAGATATCACTGAGTTAGTAATTTGCCATTCATTTATTATGCCATAATTCTGTGAACATGTGGGTTTTAATTAAAAAAAAACGTAGAAGCTCATTTATATGTTTATATACAGCCTTCCTGTATATTCTTATGATTTCCAACCCTTGATCCTAGCACAACTGGTAACATGTTTCTTCTTAAATACCTGAATTCCACTCTCATGAGTTTTCTCTTTCTTGTTATTAACATAAAATCTGCCATGTTAGCACACTTATTAATAGTTGTAATTATGGTTTTTTTTTGTTTTAGTTTTGTTAACTATACCTCGTTCTTCATCTCCCCTTTAAAGCCACAGACTGGTGTCTTTTTCACTTTTGGTGCCACCTCCCAAAGTAGAATCTTGTCCTTATGTTCTTAATAAACACTTGGTACTGTGTGTTTGTTAATTTGAACTACATTGCAATTGAATGTCTCCAACAATAGTGCATTCAGCACTGGGGACTTGAGACAGTGAATCAGTTTGGGTCTGATTTTAAAAATGATTAATGCTCAGGAGATTGTCATTTGGCCGTGTTCTGCATCCCACAAGGACACAGATTTCTGGTGTGCAGCTTGTCTGCCTGGTGTGTGAGGAGAGGAACAACTGTTAAGCTTTCAGGTGGACAAGGTGACATGGCGGGAACTCCAGAGCTGCCTCTACTGAGAAGGGACTGAGAAGCAGGCCCCTGGTCAGGGTGCCACAGCTGCCCAGTCATCACTTCCTGTCAGACTTCTAATGTTCTCTTTTCCTGTCCGTAGTCGTACATTCGAAACACCTACTAATGAAATGATTTGATATTTAAGTTTTTCCAAATGAAGTGCTTTTTGAACTTCCTTAGATTTCTTTAAATGTTACCCAGGCTGAGCCTTTTACATATTCTATTCTTCTCTGTAGGAAATAACGCATATTTGATATATCACAGTAAACAGATTTTGCAGACAGTAGGACACACAAAGGTACAAAGGGAAAAGCACAAGTTTTAGAATCAGGCAGACCCAGGTTCACATTCTGGGTCTCATACCCAGGGCCATTTTTTATTTAAACTTTTTATTTTGAAATAATTATAGGAAATGGCAGAAATAATACAAAGAGTCCTGTGTGCCCCTCACCTTCTCCTGTGTAAGCCTCCCCCAGTGACATTGTTTAGCTATTACAATATCAAAACCAGGAAATTGACATTGGTAGTTTATTGTTAACTAGACTATAGGCCTTATTCAGTTTTCATCATTTTAACCTGAAAATGTATCTATATGTGTGTGTTGTGTGTGGTGTAGTTCAATGTAATTTTACCCCATGTATAGATTAATATAACCACCACCATAATTAAGATACAGACTGTTCCATTTCATGAAAGAACTCTCTCATGTTACCCCCTTTGTAGTGGCACCCACCTCTCTGTCCCCTTCCCTGTTTTCCACCTGTATAGTTTTATCCCTTTAAGAATATTATATAAATGGAATCATACAGCATGCAACTTTTTGAGATTGATTTTTTTCACTAAACATAAAGCCCTGAGGTGCATTCAGCTTGTTTAATGTATCCAAATTCATTCCTTGTTATTACTATATAGTCCTTTTGCATGGGTATAGCAAATTTCTTTCAGTCATTCACCTAGTGAAGGGCATTTGGGTTCTCTTCAGTATTTTGCTATAACCAGTAGAACTTCTGTAAAGATTCATTTATGATTTTTATATGTT